CATAAGCAAGTTATTCACAGAACAGAGGTGATCAAGATAGAACGAACAAGATGAACAAGATCTAATACTTCAAAAAACATGATTAGCAGGGCGATTTTCATAGTTATCGATATAACTGAAAGCGGGCAAATGATGATGGCGAAGCGAATGATCAATGTTAAACATGACATGCTAAGGACGCACTTCCACTTTCCAGTAGAGTTCACTCGCGAGCTGACTCTTTTCTAATTTTCAAATCAAAAAGAACAAGTATGAGAACTAACAGCAAGAAGTAGCATTTCATTTTTTGAGTATTTGAGATACAGTGATTATGAAGAGTAGCATGTCAAGATGAAAAGAACTATAACACAAACTTCGAGGATTGGAGCTTCTCTCCCCTTATTTGTCGGACAAACGATAATTGACCCGTGCGGCTGTCGGCTTTTACAAATGCAAAATGTCTTGAGGACATGAGTGAGAATCTACCTTTCGAGATATCAGTTCGAAAGAAACACAAGGGAGTGATAAACAAAAGCTGTGAAGGATTCTCTCATACACAGTGTTGGACAAAATACATTTTGTTATTCATCTTGAGTAGCAATGTAAGATTGAGGAAGAAGCAGAAAGAAGGATCTGATCAATCTTATACGTACAAGTTGAACAGTCAGATGAAAGAAAGAAGGTTCAATATGGGAAGGAAAAAGCTCAGTGAAAACTAGGAAAGCCAACAAAAAAAAGAAAGACAGACTTTACTGGCAATGGGATGATTAAAGAAAATACAATCAATCGGAGCAGAATTCCATCAGAGAACAGCTGAGAAGTACGAGAGCACACGGCCAACTGGGATAATCGAACAACAACTTCAAAGAACCATCAAACAATCAAACTACGACGTCGAACAACGAACAGAGATATGAAAAGGAAGAGCTGTGTTGAAATGTGTTTTTGATCCAAGAGGCTCACAATATTCAGAATACAAAAAAAAATATTGAAATTGGTTGAGAACAAAAAAATTTTGAGATTCTGAAGTTCGCTGGTTGACACCGCGCACTTTCTTTTCACGCGATGAAAATGAAAATGTACGAGTTTCATTTCTCACTTGCTAAGGAGTTGAACGATCGTGCGCTATTTCACGTGATTTTCATTCTTCAAGACGCGGTTCACGTATTGAGCGGTCGTGCACGCGCAAGATATATCATAAATGCGAATGCTGTCAACATGATTAACAATAGTCAAACTGAAGAAGTTCTAACAAATCAAAGTGCAGCTGTCCGTGAAATGACGGTTATGACGCTATGATGGCATATACGGAAACTTGTGTGTCTGAAGAAACGATAGACGATTTGAAAGCCAAAATACTTCAGAAGTGAGCACTACTTGCGTTCTGCATATACTCGGACATTCTGCAATGTGAGTCATGATTACAGAAGATATCATGAATGATCACTGTAACTTACACTCTTTCGTGATTCAGGTTTGTGAAATCCGATGAGAGTCAGAACAGTTTTCCGGGAAACTGAGTTCAAGCAAATGGTGAGAACAGACTGGACCAGAGAGTTAGTACCCATCAGTATCGCACAACCATAAACAACGGCTGAACAATCGAAGATTTGGAATGAATTGGTCAATTCAAACTGTACTTGAACTTATAGGGAAAAAGAGCGAAAGTATTATTGCAATAGGAGCACAGCACGATACTGATGCGGTACAAACGATCTTGAAGACCAGTTATGTCGGAACAGAGCCAAAACTGGGATTACCTGGATTGTTAGAACCTTCAGCACTTTCAGATGATGACAGGATGCTCCAGTAGACATAAGGTTTTGTTTCTTATGGATAGTACGAACGATCTCAAAGGCAATTGATACAACAACCTAAAGATCATGGATGAAGTTCAATGACTTCCAAGCTAAGATGAGCTTACTACGAAGGTTATTGGAATCAACAAAGCATAATAAACCGGATAGAATATTTCTTTGAAAGTCTTTAGAGTGTAAGATAAAGCTGTCCTCGTTGACATGTAATCCAATTGCTCCTGTGAAAGCTGAAACCATTTCATGTGAGAGGGTGGCCTATCCCCCGATGAATTCACATTGAACGGAAGAATATTCGGGTCGAACTCGCTATATCCAATGTGGAATGATACTGATGAGACCAAAGAATAAACGAATTCTAAGACAACACAGATAATAGGAAACAGATTAGGTGTCTGGAAGATGCAGAAGACATGAAGCTGAAGCTCTGACACACACTTACCCTAAGGAAGTGAGTATGATCCACTATCAAGTACAAACGGAACAAGTAACTACTGAGAAGAGCGGAAACAAAACTTCCGTAGAAAAGACAAAGAAGTGTGAAGCCGTTTGCACATGTTAGACCAATTAGGTAACAGTATCCTTCACAGTAGAAAAAATTATAATTGAGATGAAACATATACTTCAGAACTAGAGAATATAAGATGGAGAACAGGAATATGAATGCCTACAAGGTAGAACTCAAAGAGAACGAAAGTGCCTAACTTACTCCATGAGCGTGTACCAACATCTTGTAGTAGTGAGACTCTTTACTTGGAGGTGACAAGTAGATAATCAGATAACTGAGAGCGTATGTAACACAAGTACAAACGGACAGAATATTGTGAATTGTTTTGAAAGTTTCATTATAGGGCAACTGATGATTGAATAGATAGGAGTCATAACTAGACATGACAATGATAAAGTTCAATTCGCATTCGAAGGAGCCGAGTTGTCTACAGCTAGATTATTTTGATAGAAATAACGCCTGGAATCTATTTATAAATCAACAGCATACAGCTGCACCTGCTATCGTTCACTTTCTCAACGACTAGCTAATAAATCTGAATAAATTTGGATTTACAATGGAATGTAACCAAGCAATACAAGCAGTTGAGGCGTGCTGATGCCAGGTGCTATTCACTTCAAGAGCTCAAGAAGGAAGCGACGAGAATGAAGACGAGCAGAAATTGCAATAAAGGAGCACGCAACGTACGTCTTGATGTACAAATTCAAATTGGATGATGAGAAACGAAAGATACACAACACGATATCCGTGATAAAACAATCTTAAATGAATTTTCAACCAACCTAATTGTTCCGTTGTTATGCTAGCCACACATAATTACATAATGATATATAATTCCTCTACTCCCTACATGTATGATTTGGCGAAGAACAATCTAGAACAGAAATGTTCACTTTCCATCTAAGACATGCAATAAGAGAGAACTTCGAGTAATCAGAAAAAAATAAAAATTATGGAAATTGGTTGAGAGCGAAGAAAGTTTTGGGATTCTGAAATTTGGGGGACACCGCGCACTTTGTTTTCACGCGATGAAAATGAAAATGTACGAGTTTCATTTCTCACTCAGAACATGACGTAAGGTCATAAACACAGATAAACACGGATAACAAGGATGAACACGGATAACAAGATGATATGAAGTGAAATCAAGAACAGTGAAGTGAGAAACCACGGACCATAGACTTTCAAGTTGAGCCAGAGTCAGGACAATCAACCTCGAAGCGCTTACATATTGAACCACTGGGGGATGGATCAAG